GGGTCTCTTAGAGTTAGCCCCGGGGCAGCTGGTGGCTGAGGCTCCTGCTGTTAGATCCCAGGGCGGCTGGCAACTGGGGTCCTGCACCCCTGGAACATTCCTTCATACCCCCCAGGAGGCATGCCACACACTTTGAAAACCTCTGCTCTACAGACTCACAATAATGAGCAGCATAGCTCTTTCATTATCTTTAGCCTGTTTAACATCCAAAAGACATTTTTTCTCAATTGCCATTGATACCAGGTTCAGGGCATCTAAGGTCCAGTGCACCATGTTTTGGAACTGTATTAGGTTGTTTGGTGGTGATATTCAAGAACACTCCACATTGTCTCACAAACTCCTCTTGAGGAGAGCAGATATTCTGTATATTAACTTCAACATCACGAACCTCTGATTATTAGTGATCTTGACTATAGGTGATGATACTAGTGCTGGTGCCTCAACAATAGGGATATCCACAGAAGAGCAAACAAGAGAGCGAATGAGCCTTTGACATCTTGAGAGGACAATGGGAGTGAGATGAGGCTGGATGCCTAGATCTCCTTCTATGATGTCTAAAGTTCTCCACAAGTGGAGCAAGAACCACGTGAAAAAGGCCACATCCTTATGCAGGTTATGGCATAAAATACCACCAGCAGGCCCAAGAGTACAGATAAGAATAGCTCCTGTTGGAACTAGCAGAGGATGAATAGTCCCTAGAGTCCAAAGCCCCACTGGCCAAAAACTATCTGGAAGTGCCTCAATGTCTATTCCTGAAGTCACCAAAGTTTATCTGATCCATCCCTGGAACTGAAAGCACAAAGTCGGGAAGCGACTGTTAGTGTCTTCACCTGACTCACCTACAGTATGAACAAAAGCTAGTGTACTGAGATGTCAGCACCAGTCAGTTGAGGTTGGCGTTAAGATAGGAATTCTAAGGTGTCTTTGGAAATTGCATCAGGACACAGAAATAGTAGTCAGGTGTGTAAATTATGGTGCCAAAGACTCTGGATCTTAATTCCGGTCTCGAGAGTATTTTTGTTTGTCCTCTCCTTCAAATATTTTCTCTTCTCCCTATGCTTTAGGGAAGAAGGAAACAATTGTGGGGCCTCCATATATGTTGCTGAAAGTTCTGGTGAATCTTCTTAGTAAGTACAGCAAGTGGAAATTCTGTATAAACCCCCTCTTCCATTGGGATTCTTAAATTTTTTAAATTTAGAATTATGTAAATGTTAAAAAATGAATATTCTTACTAGCATCATGTGGCCGCCTGGTTGCCGAAAGACTCTAGCAGCCCTTGTAGTGTGTTCTACAGCTTCCTTAAAGAACACCATTGAAGTCTGGGGAAGCAAAAAAGACAAGCTCACTTCAATAAGAAAACAGCTGCACATGGCAAATGATATTTACAGTAGGTAAGTAAGGGGAAGGGGCTAGCCTGGGGGAAACATACCTAGAAGAGCTGGGAGAGACAGCTCAATTCCCATAACTAGAAAAGTTATAATAGATGTTTATTTCTTCTCTTTCCTATCCTCTTGACTGCCTCTCTCAAAGTCACTTACAGAGATCCTCATGCTGCTACCCATATTGCCACTAATCTCCCTGATTCGCTGCACTCTGTCCATTCTATCCAACAATACCCTACTCAGATTGCAAAAGCAAGTACTATAAACTATAATCTGCTCTTTGTTACAGTGGTGCAGCCCTACTGACGTTAATTAGCATTACAGTATAACCATGTATGTGAGAGAAGGATTTAACTTCATGTGGGACAGAGTGGATTTACAATAGTGCAGAAGAAGATGGACTAACAGCAGTGGGGACAACCAAAATGACCAAAAATCTCTTGTTCCTTGACTCTCCTCAGTGAGCTTCATGGTCAGCAGAGGGGATTCATTTTTGGGAAATGGAGGGAGATGAGGTGGGGAGGAAAGTTTATGGAAGTATCATTATATGAACCAGTGATGTAGTCACTAAAAACAAATTGTTAGAACTCCAGAAGATCTTAGGCAGAGATTGTTAACCAGTTTATATAAGGCACCAAACCTTTGCCCCAAATTTTTATGATTCAGTAAAGTTTGGTTAGTTTTTTCCCTCATTATTTTTCAATTTTGTGCAGCATCAGGGCACAATCCTGGTCTCACTGATGTCAGTGGTAAAATTCCTATTAACTGAAATGGGGCCAGGATGTCACTCCTGTGCTTGGGACAGGAAGCAAATTCATGGAAATACTTAATGAAAGACTGTAATTCCAGCCTGATCAGCAGCAAAAAATATACTTGTACAACCTTAACTTTTAGTTAATAAAGATGTCTGTGTGGAAATTTCCTTGTTTTTTTTAAATGTGTTGAAACTGTTGTGGGGATAGCAATGGTCTATGGGGAACAGGGAGGCAGCATCTGAAAATAGGAGTACATAGCAGAATTAGACATATCTGCTGACTTCTTTGGGCAGAAATAAAACTTGTGATGATGATTAGCAGAATAACTTGTATTCTGATTAATTTTTAAATTTAAAAAAGAAGCCTGTGGCTGAGATGTGATGCTAATATAGTGTTTATTATTTTGAAAAAAATATATACTTCAATATATTGTATATACTTCTGCCCATACCAGTATGCAAGTAATTTCTATTAATTTCAACTTGAGCATATCTGCAGGCAGAATTTGGTCCGTATACAATATAACAGCCATGACGCAAGCTGATGTCAAATACAGGGCCGGCTCCAGGCACCAGCTTGTCAAGCAGGTGCTTGGAGCGGCCGCTCCGGAGAGGGGCGGCACGTTCAGGTATTCGGCGGCAATTCGGCGGACGGTCCCTCCACCTGGGAGCGAAGGACCTTCCGCCGAATTGCCGCCGCAGATCGCAATCGCAGCTTTTTTTTGTTTTTGTTTTGTTTTGTTTTGGCTGCTTGGGGCGGCCAAAACCCTGGAGCCGGCCCTGGTCAAATAAGTTGATGTTTACCCCTTTGCTTGTCCTCACTAACAAACTCTGGTCTGCACCTGGATCTCTCTTGCAAGTAATATAGCAACCTCCTCCTCTCTAGTTCTATGCCTTGCTCTTTTCCCTTCTCCAATCCATTCAATATGCTACAGCTAAATTATTCTTCCTTGCTGACCATGTCAATTGTCTCTATCATTCAATTTATTTTAGTTCCTTATCCTCACTTTCAAGACTCTACATGTTGCCATCCATCCCTACATCTCAGCACCCTATTTCTCCCTATTCCTCATTTTATATGCCACTCTACCCTCTTTAATGGCCTCAGCACTGTTTCTCCCCTAACAGCACGTTGGGAACTTGTGGGAAGCTTTGCTCTCTACAGCATACAGGAGACACGAACGCCATATACAAGTCTAACAAATCAACTCCAACTGCATCAGTGATCTCTGAATTTGGGGAACTCTGCACTGACAGGTACAGAGACGTGAAGGCAGAATTTGTGCTATGGATCATTGGCAACAATTCAGTTAGTGAAATTCTCTGGTAACACTTTTAAAGTGTATTATTATTTATTAAATTCACAAGAAAGGAGGTCCTATTCTAAGGCTTTAAGAGACATTTCATTAATAGTGTGAATAGGAAAGTAAAGATAACTCCTTGATGACACTGTAAAACTATTCTGGTGACAAAAATAACGAAATGTTGTCATGCATTTTTCATGTAATGTTGTCCTTTGGCAACATTAAACATTTATTTAACATTAAACAATGCTAAATTAAGAAAGGATAGCATAGTTTAACTTTCAGTTGGGGAAAAGGAAGGATTTAAAAAAATACTGTATTAATTTAAAATCTAGTTTTGATGTTATTTCTCGTCTCACTGAGTTGATACATAACAATGAGTGGTTGGTAGAAAGAAGGATAAGACCACATGCCATATGGTAAGTAGTCTTTGAAATTTGAGACAAATGGAATCCTTTTTCTTATGATAGCTACTATGATTCAGTAGATTTCATATTATTCTTTTTGAATTAGGGAGAGTTTAACTTTGTCCAGTGACAGTCAGTAACACAGTTACTAGAACAGATTAGTTAGTGAGAGACTATTTATTTATAGGCTTATATTGGTGCTCATCACATAGTACCTGTGTGTGTCCCATACTTTAATGAATTTATCTGCACAGAATCCTTGTGCCATGTTCCAGAAGGGAAACTGAGACCAGAGAGAATAAGTGACCTGTCTAAAGTCATCATGAAAGTCTGTACCAGAGCTAAAAATAGAACCCAGATCTCCTGAGTCTCAGTTCAGTGCATTAACCATAAGATCATCCTTCTACTCTTAACTGAAACCAATGATCCCAATGAAAATAATAAAACACCAATTACTAGCTCTCCTGGACTACATTTTCAAACACACACACCTGTTCACCTGCCATGCTTGCAAAACTCACACTTGTGTACTTAAATACTCACCACATGCAGATATCAAGTAACTGCGTACTATAATAATTGTCCAGATTGCATGTACAAATGTAAACTAGGTATATTATTTTTTATCACAACTTACATGTCTATACTTGAAAAAACAGCATTTTGGCATGCTCAAAATATTTCTAAAATGTTCTGTTCCAAATTTTAGTTGAATAGCTACAGATAACAAGCCATCTGTTTTTTATACCTTAGTACTCGTTGAGTTCATTTTAGTTTGAAATTCTTCCAAGACAGAAACAAGTTTTTCATAGTTAGTGATGTTTCGATAGATTTTACTTTCAAGAGGTGTGTTCATATCCAGAAAATCCACAAATATGGTAGACTCCTCCATCAATTTTTCTTTGGTCCATGTGATCTATTAAAAATACAATTCAACCTATTAATCTCACCATTTTAATGTTAGAAAGTAATGTTCACTGCTGCTCATAAATCAAATGGTAGTTCTGCCTATTATTGTTTCCCCACAGTTCTTGTTATTAGACCCTCATTTCAGTTGCTCATAACTTTGCTATATTTAAGTGTTTGTATTGAAATTTTCCATACTGGATATCTGTCTAATGATGATTTTTTTTTTAAATTTACAGCTAGAAAGGTTCAGCCATTTCTGAGAATGAAATTAGGGAAAGTACATTATTTTTGCCATATTAAATGTATGTCCTTTTCTTCTCAAAGATCTAGCACCTCCATGCTTTGGATCAGGAACTTTAAATTTGGCAGGTGGTGTTTTGTGTCAGAGATTTACCTTTTCCTGTTACTTTAAAAATCCATCCAAATTTGGCAGAGTTATAAGCCTCTGAAAAATCTCAGGTTGCACTTGCTCAGTAGAATTTAGAAGCTAAAATCTCTGAAGATTCCACCCTTACAGCTCCTAGCACTGACAAAACTGCATATTGTATCCTCACAGAGTGAAGGAGCATGCCTGTAAATGCTGTTCTCAGCTTTTCTGTGATAGGGTAGGGCGAGGCACCAGAACTGAGAGCATGAAGACTATCATGTTCTCTCAATGAGGCCCCTTCTGGCTGCCAGGCAGTGTGGAGAAAGAAGAGGCCTGACTGGACTGGAGAAGAGACTAAAGTCAGACCAGGGAATATGGAAAGACATATCCATAAAGGTTAGGACAAGGATCCTAGTGAGATTGGGACTGGGCCGAAGGGGTGAGGGGTGCAGGAATGTAACTCCCTTGGGGTACCAGGGGAGGAAGTTTGAGACTGGAACTGATTGGACAAGGAGACTGGGACAGAGAGCTGGTGGGCAGATGGAAAACTATGAGTGGCTCTGCAAGCAGACTGGGACTGGGGTGGAGACTGAGACTGGAAGCTAGTGAGGGAAATATGGGTGGATGACTGGGAGCCAGTTGGCAGTGGGAAGAGGGCACTAGGATCAGACAAGGAGATAATGGAAGGGAGATGGGGTCTGGCTGGACAATAAGACTGTGTGTGTGTGTGTGTGTGTGTGTGTGTGTGTGTGTGTGTGTGTGTGTGTGGTGGTAG